TTCCCAGGTGAAAATGTGACAGCTGCAAACTGGATATTTTTGACGTTTTTGCGGTAGCAGGCTGCAAATATGTAGAATCCCAAATAAGGATCTTTATGCTCGCGTGCGTGCAGTCTACTTACCGCGAAACAACCAGTTACACCTTACTACAACGTCTCCCCGTCAAAAACGTCGTAAACAACCAGCAAAACCGAAATCACATGGTTGCTTCCCTTGAAGCAAAACAAAGATGTCACATGTTGTGACTGCTTCTTACAAACAAAACAAACGAACTCACTCAAACTGATTTGTTTTGAGTTGGTTGGTTTGAAAAAAATTGTTCTCGTGGTGAATAAGCAATGAAACAAAAAAACGAATTCCGCTCATCCGGTGGTGACATTTCATGTCATGTTGAAAATGACGTAAATTACTCATTTTCAGACAAACCTATATTATATATATATATAAGTTACCGGCTAAGACGCCAAGTCTAGAAGTCATCCTTCCAAGTTACGCGCAGAAAAAAAACGCATGTGAAAATAAAACCAAAAATAACATGTGACATGCGGACATGTGAAAAACTGCCGTCGACAAGTTGAAGCTGAAACACACTTGCACATTCAGTTTTCTTTTTCCTGTCAAAGCATGGGGAAAATCTTAAATTGTTCCAAGCTGGATCACACTGGCACGGTGACAAAAAACCCACTTGAATCCAAACATTTCTTGAGAAAAAGAAATGAGTGACCCCGTTTGCATTACACATGTTAAATGACAAGCAACATTCATTGATCGTTGCACGTTTGTTTTAACTGACAGTTGGTGCATTCATGTTTGTGAATCAGCTCACAAGGTTGGAACATCTCCAACTGAACATCTGACATTTAAAATACAAGACGGAAACGCGATAGTTTCACGCCAGCTTCATGGATGATCGCTGTGTTCAAGCCGATCTAAGCGTCACGTGCTAGGTCCCAACAAAGAGCGGGAAATCAGACAGGGTGGCACACTCTGTTTCAGAAAGCCTGCCGGGTCTCCAAACCAAAGTCCAAATGGTCAAGCGCAACGCTTAACCTATCTATAAACCGCTATTGACAAGTCAACTGCAAACGTCCCCCAGCGTTTTGCGCGAGCCCGCGCAGGCGAAATGCACAGGGACATGTGATAAGAGGCATTTCGTGTGGAAATTTGCAGGGAAAATGCCGGACCCGTATTCCAAGGCAAGCATTTTGTGCGAGCCTGCGCAGTCAAAATGCTCATGGACATGTCACAAGAAGCATTTTGTGTTATGTCACCCACACATTACTACCACAATTTCAGCGTTGATGCAAACGTCGGGCAAATAAGACAACATGGCGGTGAAAATGGGCCACTCTTCAATGGTATCTCCCTGCCAAGTGGCTGCAAAAGTAGTTGCACTGCTGGCCCGCGCATCTGATTGACACCGGCACACAAGGGCATCTTCAGCCCTCAAAAGATGAAGGTCGAAACTGCCCGAAATAAAAAATCATCATTTGCAATCTCCAATGATGTTTTGTTTTGTTCCACGTGAGAAGAGGAGGAAATAAGTAAATAAAGGGAAACGAGGACAAGCAAATGACCACATCAGAGTAGTGAGTCCGTGCACAGCAGACAAGCGTTACCGACCCGCTAAAACCTTACAACACTCAAAACTAGAAATGCTTCTGGAGGAAGTAAGCCAGGCCTCCGTTGTGATAGTGAATCCTGGTCGCTTCATGGGGCGGGATGTTCCTCGCAAAAAGCAGCTTAAACATCGTCGCATTGCAGAACGTCAGTTACTCATCTAAACACTATGTCATACAACAGGTTGAACATCGAGCCTTCAAACACAGATGCTGCTGTTCATTGATGCAACCTTGAAAGTCATTAACACCTTTTGTCATGCGCACTAACCGGCGCTAAGGTGAAGAAAACCAAAGCTTTGCTGTTCCCCAGCGGTGCGCACTAACTGGCGCCCCAGTGAAGAAACTACTCGCCTGAGTTTGGCGTGAAAGCAAAAAAACAAGTCCTCTTTGCTCAATCGGCCAGCTTTGGCGATGAGTCTCTTCTGCTTTTTGCTTTCGCTTTTCAGCGTTTTGCTGACGTCTTTCAGCGAAGCTTTCAACTCCTGCCTTCTCCGCTTAAGGTCGCCCAGCACGTCAGTCATAGTAGTAGAGATCACAGGCGCAGCCACGGAGGAGGTCACAGCTGCACCGTCAGCCATGGAGCCCATAGAGGTCGCAGCTGCCAAATCATGCGCGCCGTCAGCCATGGAGCCTATGGAGGTCACAGTGGGGTCACTACTGGCGCAACAGCAGGGTTTTTCGTCTCTACAAATTCAATCAGAGCCGTTGAACAGGCATGCACAGTAGCCAGCGCAGCTGTTTCCACACTGAACAAATGCTGGTCAGGCACCAGCAAAACGGCTCCATGTTTTGAACTGTCTGACGGTCCTTTTTTCAGACCTCCGCAACGTTCTGTCATTGTATCAGAATATATAAGAAGCCCATTTCGGGTTTTTGCGGAGCGTTTCTCCCTTTGTTGGGGACATGTGTGGCAGGCGTCCATGCTTGCCCTGTTACTGAAGATCTTTTGGCTTCGGCTCAGCATGGGTCTTGCCCGTCTCCTCAGATCTCTGAAACAGGAGTTCACCCTTGAGCAACAAAAGAAGCACCAAAGTTGGGATTCTTAGACATAATTTGCAAGAAACAATAGTAATAACTAGTTGTATGAACATAATAGACATGAATAAACTATAGGGACTTGATTTGCAAGAACCAGGATTGGATGAGGTACAAGTTACGGGATTCGACTCATGGCACCTTTCTGAAGACCCGACATCAGAAGTCAGTGTTGCCTCCGCCTTTGATTCTTGGATTGCCAATCATAGACCAGGTTTGTCACTCTAAATCCCACCAAGTAACAATAATAAAACACTGTATCACATAAGAGTTGTCACAGATGTTATCACAGTTACCCTCTGGTTATTTAGCTATGGGAGATGACCCATTTACAGATAGTTTACCTATTGAAAATGGTGATTTTCCATATTTTCCATGGCTATGTTAGACAAAACCCACCATTTCCAAGCCCTAAATCGTCTTGGCCTCCCATGGGATCCATGGATATCCATGTGCTGCAGGCCATGACAGCGATCCGTTCCAGTTGCTTCGAGAGATTGGGTTGCCTCGGTCGACCTCTGGAGCTTTGGCTTACGCCTCAGATTTCCCAGTGTGGAAATCTCTGGAAATCTGTGGAAATCTGTGGAATGCTGGATCTATCTGGATCTGTTAGCCCAGCGCCCATCCGAATGCTGAGGCTAGATGCCCTGTGCATGTTTCGAGATATCGTGGTATCGCCCACCTCTCAGGGGGTGACTATGGGAAGAGCACGAGATCATCTCATTTCACCAAAGATGCTGTGCAGAAATTTTGAGCACCACTGATTCATGATTTGACATGTTTTTACATGTTTTTACATGTTTCTTCTAACTTTCTCAGTGATTTACATCCGGGCTGAGGTCCATCATCTTTCTGGCCCTTTGCCCTTTGGTCCTGCTCTCTGGCATTTCTGAGTTTATTTGTCGGGAGCCTCTGGAAAAGCGTGCCGATTGATCAATGTGGGATTCTAACTGAAAGTGATTGGTCCATATTGATCCCCCCAAATCAGATGCTGCATGAAAGACTCAACTGAATAATGCAGATGGATAGTGAGTGATGCAACATTGCAACATTCATGTTGCGACCTGGCCACAGGCCCTACATTTAGCATTCATCACCTCATCATTTACAGGCAGGGTGTCAGCGCTGTTTTTCCATTTCAATCTCCTCAGAGTACTTAGCGCTGTAGGAAAGGAAGCGGCACCCTTCAGGACCCTTGAGCCATGTCGCTACCTGTCGCTACCTGTCGCTACCTGTCGCTACCTGTCGCTACCGTTGCGACCAGGCAACCAGGGCACACAGATCGAGAAAACTTGGACTTTGATCCCATTTTGGCCCGCATGTGTTGCTTGGCGAACGGGTGCCGCGGGATGGATTGGGGGAAACGAGAACCTGGGGATCGCCTGAGGCTTTGATGAGTATGAAACAGAGGAGGCCTGGCAAACGAATTCGGGGAATCAGCTTATTCAGCTATGATTCCAAATGATTTGAGACTGTTTTCATTTATTATGATGATTTATGACGATTTTTGATTTTAGAGTGCAATTTTTTTTGGATCTTTGTTTGGTATCTTGTGCATCCTTTTCTGGGTGGCAATACTTGGGAACTCCACGGGTTTCAGTTCCCCCTGGGACAACTGTTCTCGAGCCAGGACACTGATGACAGCGACCTATCCACGCCGCATGACTAGATGTGGACCATTCAAGGCACTTCCCCAGAAATCCATAGAAATATATAGAAATCCCCATCCTTCATGTTGTTCTCACCGAAGCGAAAACATGTGGAAGTGCCGGTTGCCTTTAGCTTCGTCCTGTCGGACGTCATCATTCATAGCTTTTGCGGAAGCGCATCGTCCAAAAACCGTGCGAAACCTGTGGTTTATTTTGTGGACTTCTTAGAAAAGTGCAGAAAATACAGTAAACCATCCCCTGTACTATCGTAAATGGTTGTGTTTAATGGGTGTTTAGTGGATCTTCAATGGCCGTTTAACGGATGACTATCATCATAAATGGTTGGTAAAAGTCATCCCCAAATGGCAGCCACAAGGCTTTCTCCAGTGAACTTGGTTGCATTACCGCTGGATTTGGCTCGCAGGAAAATTGCTGAGAGGGACCAGCGCCATCAGCCCAAGTTGCCCCCATGTTAAACACTTAGGTGTCTCAGATGATTCTCAGGTCATCGATATAATACCTATATATAATCCTATATAGTTCAACCTTTAGAACAGAAAGTGTAGCATAGTATAGCAACTAAGGCAACTAATAGTTACTTGTGTTTCAACCAACATCGAAGTGAATTAAGTCAAGTTTTGGTAACTCCTTCGATTGTGGCACCAAACTTTTTGGAGAAACCCCGGCTGTGGCCATGGGAACCCGCAGGTGGACTGTTACTTTGGGTCAATCTGAAACGAAGTAGTCGTCCGAAATATCTCGTGCCAATATTTAACTATAGCAAGTACATAATATTCAACTATAGCAACCTTATAGCAACCCCAAAAAGATGGAAATGTGGCAAACTTCTTGAAATGGTGAATGTTGACCTGTCCATTGTGAGTCATTCCCATGTGACAATGGATGTCACTGGACAAGAATGGGAAGATACTGCTCACCATACTGCAACCATCAAGCACCTGGATCTACCAGCGAAAATGGGCTTTGATCGGTTCTTTGAAACCCATTACTGTACTCGTTGGTGCTTTGGAACATGAATTTGATTTTTCCAGAATATATGGGAATGTCATCATCCCAACTGACGAAGTCATATTTTTCAGAGGGGTGTGTATACCACCAACCAGGTAATAGTTGGATTTGGGGAAAGCACGGCAGGCGGCGGGCGACACTTGCCGCTCGTGGTTCACGAGGTGGGGAAACTCGAACGAAACGAATGGCTTCTGATCAATCAATTTTATTCAATGTTTATATCAGATATAGCGGGCCCCCAAACAAGAATAGAACAGTATAAGAATAGATAAAATAGTGGCAAAATGTGGTAAAATCCGAATCAAACAGCGGAAAAAAAACACGACAAAAACCTGTTTTGATGTCACCATATGTGGCTTTTGCCAGGTTTCTGGGCCCTGATTCTTTTGCCCAGAGCTGTCACTTGCCGCGATTTTAACATGTTGTTTCGCCTTTGGGATGGATCATAAAAACCATTAAAAACCCATGGGCAGTTTATCTCATCCCATGATTCCATGACTAAAGTATATTAAAGTGTTGAATTATGTTGCCAGAATTAGTTGCCAAGGAATTCTTCCACAGTATGTTGGATATGTATGGATATGTTGGGTGGCTGTTCATGACACATTTGCTTGGCTACTCCCCAGCAAAATGGATGAATGATAGTGGGTCTTGGAGTCTTGGATACCCAAAAATACGGTTAAATTAAAGCGACCTAACAGCACAGTCAGAACTTAAGTGATGATTCATAGGGCAACTCATCCTCAAGTTGGATTATTTCTGGAGAATCGTAGTAATTTGACCAGAAAGAGATACTGTAACAAAATTCATCCGGCTGTTTTAAACCCTGACAATTTTGGAGTGGGGGAGTGCCGTGGAAGTCGAAAGCCATTCGAGTTAATTGGAAGTTTTTGATTACCGGTTGAAAGCAAGGCTTCCCCAAATTGGTTGGTTTGAAAATTGGACATGCCTCTATTACTGTGCAATGGATATCGATGGTTTATATCATATATATTTGTATACATGATTATACATGTTATATCATCATATATGATCATATTAATGTCCATTGTATTTCATTAAATAGCAGCAATTTCATGGCTATCCCATGGTATCCCTTATACGTGGATATCATTTTAATGAAAATCCAATGGTCTCTTTTTCATTCCCACGAACATCCAACAATCATCCAATGGGTTGTCACATTCCCGATGGCTCAGAGCCGAGTCCGGCCGTTTTTCTTGAACTCAGGTTTGCCAAACAGCAGGACGACCAGGCAGATGGCCTGAATTTTTTGATATTTTTTTGCCATGATATTTGCAGATTTGGGCCATCATATACTGGTTGGTGCTTTGGAACATGTTTTATTTTCCATGATATATCAGATATATGGGATAATCCTTCCCATTGACTTTCATATTTTTCAAGATGGTTAAAACCACCAACCATCACCAACCAGTATATGATTTATATGATGATACAGATTTACATGATTTGACTGGAATGTGAGGATTTTCGAAGCTGACTATACTTTCAAGGGCTTGGCAACGCAATGATCTGCTTTCTGTTGACATCACTTCCCTGAGGCACTGGAAGTGCGTGCCCAAAGTCAGAATGGGCACCTCCCCTAGTGTTTTTTGTTTATTTTTCACAGGTTCATTGTCAAAAGCCCATGCAGGCAAGATTTGAAATCATGCTGGTTGTTGCTTCGAGTTCCTGCTGATGCAGGAACACTGCAGACATGTGCGTTGAGGGTGTATGCTTTCACTTCTGTGATCGCAAAGTCGGGCATTTGACGTTTCCTCTTGCAGTCAATTCATTTCCTAGATTTATGATTTTTGGGTCCTATATGGTCCTATTAGTAATTTTTACTGGTCCATATCATATAATTAGTCCTATTTCATCCTATTTCCCTGGTTTCCCACAGGTTCCCCAAGTGATTCATGTCCTCGTTTTCGCCATCCGGCCAAAATCCGACTTCTTTCAGGTCGATCCTCAGACACCGTCCTCGGAGTGCGTGTCACAGTTTGATTCGGCGGGACGACCTTTGACTTTGGTCTTCTCGGACGAGTTCAACGTTCCAGGCCAGGGCCCGCAGGGCCCGCAGGGCAGGGCATTTTTTCTTGGCACGGTTTTAGCACGGTTTTTTTTCTGTGACCGGCTGTTTTCTGACGTTTAAAGAAACACTGCAGTTCGACAGTCGCACATGCAACTCCTTATAATTGTTGGCTGCACATGATGTGAAACAATCAAGGCGACATGCTGAACATGGTTTGGCCGTGTTTAGCTGATCTGTGGATCAAGCACCAAGCTCCATCCAAATCTAAGTTCCCAATGCTTCATGCAAGATCATGCAAGCATACACCAATGCAATCGACCAGCCAACATGTCAAATGACTCATGCAGCACAATGGTATGCCACAGCGACACTGCATGCTCAAAATCGCATCCTGAAAATTCTGAAGTCTTAGAAAATTCGCTCCCATTTTCCTGGGCCCAGTGCCATGTTGGATTTGCTGAGGGGTCAAGATACTGACCATCAGGTTGCACTGGAAGAAAAAGATGCAGAAATTGCGATGCTCCAAGCCCGTCTCAATGCATATCAAGCAGCAGACCAGCGAGACTTCCTGGCCGATAATTCCGATCAGTTGGCCACCATCATCAGCACCAAAAATCAAGTGATCCATGACCTTCAACTCCAACTGAAAACGACTTTGACCCAAAATTCGGATCAACCAGATCCATCCCAGGCTCTAGCCCAGGCTCTTGAGAATGCCCAGACCTCTGCCGCGGAGGTGGAACGTCTTCGACATCAGCTCCAGGGCTGCGAACGAAAGTTTCGCGACCAGGAGCACCGGCTGCAGCTCTACCGTGAGGAAAACCATCGCCAGGCAGGGGAGTTGGCCATCAATGCAGCCAAGAGTGCTGCGGAGATTGGGCAGTTGCAAGCGCAATTGGAGGATTTGACACGCAAGGCAGATGAGGAAGGTGAGGCAAAAATGCAGAAACTGGAGGAATTGGAAGCCAAACGGACTCAGTTTGAAGAGTTCTGTGCTGAGCGCACCAAGGCTTTGGAAGCAAAAGAAGCCGCAGCAGTTGAATTTGAAGCCACGCTGAAGCAACAACAGGCACAAAGTCAGCAAGCAGCAGAAGGCATGCATGCTTTGGAAGATGCAGAAGGCAAAATTGCAGCAAAAGAGGCTGAGTTCGAACAGTTCTGTGCTGATCGTGCCAAAGCTTTGGAAGCAAGAGAAGCCGCAGCAGCTGAACTTGAAGCCACGCTGAAGCAACAACAGGCACAAAGTCAGCAAGCAGCAGATGGCATGCATGCACTGGAAGATCGCGAAGTGCAGTTTGCAGCAAAGGAGGCTGAGTTTGAGCAGTTCTGTGCTGAGCACACCAAAGCTTTGGAAGCAAGAGAAGCCGCAGCAGTTCAGCTTGAAGTTATGCTGAAGCAACAACAGGCACAAAGTCAGCAAGCAGCAGAAGGCATGCATGCTTTGCAACATGCAGAACGTAAGATTGCAGCAAAGGAGGCTGAGTTTGAACAGTTCTGTGCTGAGCGCACCAAAGCTTTGGAAGCAAGAGAAGCCGCAGCAGTTGAGCTTGAAGCCACGCTGAAGCAACAACAGGCACAGAGTCAGCAGGCAGCAGATGGCATGCATGCACTGGAAGATCGCGAAGTGCAGTTTGCAGCAAAGGAGGCTGAGTTTGAGCAGTTCTGTGCTGAGCGCACCAAAGCTTTGGAAGCAAGAGAAGCCGCAGCAGTTAAACTTGAAGCCACGCTGAAGCAACAACAGGCGCAGAGTCAGCAAGCAGCAGAAGGCATGCATGCACTGGAAGATCGCGAAGTGCAGTTTGCGGCAAAGGAGGCTGAGTTTGAACAGTTCTGTGCTGATCGTGCCAAAGCTTTGGAAGCAAGAGAAGCCGCAGCAGTTGAGCTTGAAGCCACGCTGAAGCAACAACAGGCACAGAGTCAGCAGGGAGCAGAAGGCATGCATGCACTGGAAGATCGCGAAGTGCAGTTTGCGGCAAAGGAGGCTGAGTTTGAACAGTTCTGTGCTGAGCGCACCAAAGCTTTGGAAGCAAGAGAAGCCGCAGCAGTTGAACTTGAAGCCACGCTGAAGCAACAACAGGCACAAAGTCAGCAGGCAGCAGATGGCATGCATGCACTGGAAGATCGCGAAGTCCACTTTGCAGCAAAGGAGGCTGAGTTTGAGCAGTTCTGTGGTGAGCGCACCAAAGCTTTGGAAGCAAGAGAAGCCGCAGCAGTTGAGCTTGAAGTTATGCTGAAGCAACAACAGGCACAAAGTCAGCGAGCAGCAGAAGGCATGCATGCACTGGAAGATCGCGAAGTGCAGTTTGCGGCAAAGGAGGCTGAGTTTGAACAGTGCTGTGCTGAGCGCACCAAAGCTTTGGAAGCAAGAGAAGCCGCAGCAGTTGAGCTTGAAGCTATGCTGAGGCAACAACTGGCACAAAGTCAGCAGGCAGCAGAAGGCATGCATGCACTGGAAGATCGCGAAGTGCAGTTTGCGGCAAAGGAGGCTGAGTTTGAACAGTGCTGTGCTGAGCGCACCAAAGCTTTGGAAGCAAGAGAAGCCGCAGCAGTTGAGCTTGAAGTTATGCTGAAGCAACAACAGGCACAAAGTCAGCAAGCAGCAGAAGGCATGCATGCACTGGAACTTGCAGAAGGCAAGATTGCAGCAAAGGAGGCTGAGTTTGAACAGTTCTGTGCTGAGCGCACCAAAGCTTTGGAAGCAAGAGAAGCCGCAGCAGCTGAACTTGAAGCCATGCTGAAGCAACAACAGGCACAAAGTCAGCAAGCAGCAGATGGCATGCATGCACTGGAAGATCGCGAAGTGCACTTTGCAGCAAAGGAGGCTGAGTTTGAGCAGTTCTGTGCTGAGCGCACCAAAGCTTTGGAAGCAAGAGAAGCCGCAGCAGTTGAACTTGAAGCCACGCTGAAGCAACAACAGGCACAGAGTCAGCAGGCAGCAGAAGGCATGCATGCACTGGAAGATCGCGAAGTGCAGTTTGCAGCAAAGGAGGCTGAGTTTGAGCAGTTCTGTGCTGAGCACACCAAAGCTTTGGAAGCAAGAGAAGCCGCAGCAGTTGAACTTGAAGCCACGCTGAAGCAACAACAGGCACAGAGTCAGCAAGCAGCAGAAGGGATGCATGCACTGGAAGATCGCGAAAGCAAAATTGCAGCAAGGGAGGCTGAGTTTGAACGCTTCCGTGCCAAGCGGACCAAAGCTTTGGACGCAAGAGAAGCTGAGGTTGCTGATTTGGAAATTTTGATGAAGACATTCAACGCACAGAACAAGTATTTGACAGAATACCAAGAGGGAATGATTGACAGGGAGAGGGAGTTTCAGCAAGAATGTGTTGAGCGCACCAGAGCTTTACTAGAAAGAGAGGAGGCGATGGCGGAACTCGAAGAAAAGCTGAAGCAACAAGCCTCGCAAGAGCCGCCGTTCCCACCAAAGCTGGCACAGCCCAGCCCTGGTGCTGGAGACATGGATGGGCAGGAAGACATCACAACCCGAGAGGCCAAGTTTGCGCTAGAGGCAGTACTGAAGCAACAGGAGGCACAAGGGCAGAAGGCCTTAGATGATTTGAAGGCTCTGGAAGATCGGGAAGCGAAACTTCTTGAAAAGGAGGCTGCTTTGGAAGCACGTGAAGCTACTGCAGCTGCAGATGCCAAAGTGCATAGCTGTTTCTATGAGGAGTTGGAGGAGCAGAAGCAGTTGCTGGCCGAACGTGATCAAGCAGCCCTGGAACAAGCAGCCGTGCTCGAGAAGCGCGAGTTGGAATTCGAAGAAGCCAAGTCAAAGTTGCAGATCCAGGAGCAGAGCTTGCGCAGGCGAGAGGCCTTGTGCACTGAACGGGAAGCTTGGCAATGCGTGGCATCATGTTCATTCATTTTCCCATCGTTTTTCCTGGTGTTTGGTCCATTTGGTGGAATCTACTGGGGATACTTGGGTATGGGTCAAAACCCTCTACACCAAAATGGCTGGTGAATGGATGTTCATCCACCCAAATATATACATTATATACATATATATATACACACATTATATATAATATATATCAAAATATGTTATAGGAGATATTAGATATAAAGATTGCATATGTATGTATATTTGGCGAATCTCATGGGATTTACATGGGATTTACCATCGATGTTCCATTGCTTTCTCCATCCCCCTGTTGTTTCACAAGAGAAACCATCCGCAGCCAAGGAACAGGAGCTGAAACAGCAAGCATCTCGTGCCCGTTTGGAGGCCCAAGCTTCACGGCAGGTGGATCAAAGCAAGGCGCGGCAGGCGTCGATTTCGTCGACGTCCGAACCTGCCGGGGTCGCTGGAGCAACTGGACGATAAAATCTCGCTGGGGGAAGCCCCGGGAACTGTTGTCCTGATTTGTCTTTAATGATTTGGTAAAATGAAGTACATTACATATATGCATGAATACATGCATATTTCCAATTTCCTTGCTACAAGTTTCTTTTGAGTGACTTGCGAGTTGAACGGGTCTTTGCACAATTTATCGATGTGAACCTGGCGCATCGCATCCTAAGGCAATTGCTTCCAGCATTCTACAGGATATGGAAATTGGCGAACGTTCACAGGTGACTCTAACAGATTTGGGTCTCAGTCAGATCTCTGGTTTGCCTGAAGCAGAGACCCGGCTGAAACTGGCTGAAACCATTGAAAAAAATGGAAAGTAAGACTCCCCTTTTCTTCCCATATGTTGCCGGTGGAAAAGTCGTAAGAAAATGACATTTTGCTGGCTTCAATCCCCATCTAATTAGTAGTTGAATATGTTGAATTATGGTCAAGGTATGTCGAGATAGATACCTAGAGGGCATGGACTCAGTTTACCCCAGCCGCCACCAATGTGGATGTGATGGATGCAACCCTGTCACAAGAGGGTTGGCCACATTTGCCATTTGTTTCCATTAAATTAAATAGGCTGAAAAATACCTCATTGGTAGGATTACCGTATGATTATCCCGCTATAGTCTAATTATTACCCCCATTGATGGGAGGTAGAATAACTTTACGCACTGCTTCCCCAAGGACAAGTTCTTGCAGCTTCTCTCTGCTCTCATGGCGGTTCGCGCTGATGCACGGCTCACGGTCTTTGGCCTTTGGCTGTTGTGCCATTTGATCCTTGGCCATTTGATGGTGATGTTTAAATGACATTTGCGTATCACAAATGGAGACTTCACCAACAAGAATGGTGGCATCATGGGGATATGATGGATATACGATATATATCGATATATGATTATATGATATTATATGATTTTATATTATATATATATACATAATTATATACGTATATATATAGAGATGCATATTGTGGTGATATATAATTATTGCTTGGCCATGGTTCACTGGAATATCACCAACGAAACCCTGGATAAAACTGGGGCATTTTTTTGATTCAGACAATTCAGACCACTGTCATTGGGGCTACAAATTGGGATGGTCAACTACTGGGTGTTAACAAATGAGTACCATCAATGGATTGGTTTAAGGGAAAATCTACAGGAAACCATGGTTTTTACCATCAAATATAGGGGTTTCCTGTAAATTTTCCCATCATCCAATTCTATGATACCACTGATACTTTGCCAATAGACTACTGATGTTGGTGATGTTTGCTTGTTGTGCATGTTTCGAAAATCAGCAACATGTTTTTTCACTGTTTGACCATGCAAAAAAACGATGTCTGGAGTGTCAAGCAAAGCGGAGGATCTATGTCATATATCTCATCTATGCCCATCTTGGCTTCAAGTGAGAGGCCAAATAGATCATGCGAAATGCACCTACGCACAGACCATACGTGGGCGAAATGTGTCCTCAAAAGAATTGGGAAGCCCCAAACAAGACGCCACTTCCGCCACTTAGCTGATGACAAGGGAAACCATGTGGAAACCATGTGGTTCACGAAAGGGGGGGTTCTCAATGTCTGGACGCAGCCACGTTTTGATTCTACTCCGGCGAAGAAAAAGACGCGGCTGGCCCTTCAGCCCCATGAGATGGTGCAATTTGTTTTGCTCATGAGATAGGGAAAAAAATATACGTACATGCATACGTATTTATAATCACACATATATATATACATACATATCGTACATATATCGTATATAATCATATGTATATATATATTTATATATTCATATAAATATGTAATGATACATGTATGTATAATCATATATACACATAGTAAGATATTATTAAAACCTAATGTGATTTTCTAGCCATCATTAATCCAAGAATGCTAAAGATGGTTGACTTTGAGAAATGTCTCTTCTTGGCAGACCCATGAAAGATAGCCATTTGTTGCAACCGGCGGTCCGGTAAACCATGGTAAACCCCACGCCGTGGTCGGAAAAGATCGCCGTATCGACAGGTCGCACTTTTGCTGATGGGCATGATCCAGTTTGGACGGCTATCACTGGTTGCAGCCTGAGATCACAGTTAAACATCCATTCAAATACTTTATCCATCTTTATCCTCTGGTAAACCAACAGTTTACTATAGAAAATCACCATTTTGAATAGGTACTTCAACTATAACTAAGGTATTTTCATGTATTTTCAATAGCTCTGTCGAATTACCAGAGGATATTATCACACATTTCAATTACGTTCCCCTCCGGTAAACTACCAGTAGTACCGCACAAGGCGGTGGCGGAACTGTCTAAAATAGGAAACCTATAGGAGAGGTTGGTTGTTGTGAATCACGGATGGCAGAGCGAAGCCACTGATGGATCGAAAGGTGATTGATGTCTCCTCTCTTTCTCTCTCTTTTTCTCTCTTTCTCTGATCATCTACCTACCTACCGATCTATCTGTCTCTCTCTCTCTCTCTCTTTCTCTCTCTCTCGCTCTCTCTCTCTCTCATCGGTCTGTCTATCTGTCTATCTGTCTATCTGTCTATCTGTCTATCTGTCTATCTGCCTATCTATCTATCTATCTATCTATCTATTTATCTATCTATCTATCTATCTGCCTATCTATCTATCTATCTATCTATTTATCTATCCATCTAGCTGTCTATCCATCTTTCTATCTATCTACTTATCTATCTATCTATCTATCTACCTATCTACCTATCTACCTATCTATCTATCTACCTATCTTTCTATCTAGCTACTTGTATCTGTCTATCTCATCTGTCTATCTAGCTATCTATCTATCTATCTATCTATCTATCTATCTAGCTCTCTCTCTCTCTTTCTCTATCTATCTGTCTATCTGCCTATCTATCTATCTATCTATCTACCTACCTACCTACTTGTATCTGTCTATCTCATCTGTCTATCTAACTATGTATCTATCTATCTACCTATCTACCTATCTATACCTATCTATATCTATCTACCTATCTACCTATCTCTACCTATCTATCCTATCTACCTATCTACCTATCTATCTATCTATCTATCTATCCATCGATCTATCTATCTATCTATGTATCTATCTGTCTATCTATCTATCTATCTATCTATCTATCTATCTATCTATCTATTTCTCTCTCTCTCTCTATCTCTCTATCTCTCTATCTCTCTCTCTCTCTCTCTCTGTCTGACTGTCTGTCTGTCTATCTTTCTACCTGTCTATCTGCAAGCTTGAAAACCAAGCTATTCTGCAAGACTTCTTCATTTTTCAAAGTTGACAACATCAAAAACGAATAAACACGAAGCAATTCTGCGAGAGTTCCTCAATGGTTGAACTTGACAACGTCAAAAACGAAGCAATTCTGCGAGACTTCTTCATTTTTCAAAGTTGACAACACCGAAAACGAATCAATTCTGCGAGACTTCCTCAATTTTTGAACTTGACAACATCCAAAACGAAGCAATTCTGCGAGACTTCTTCAATTATGAACTTGACAACATCAAAAACAAAGCAATTCTGCGAGACTTCCTTCAAGCTGACGGCCTCGTACCAATGCGTTTTCCAATTTTTCCACTCCACCTGTCTAAAGTACTGCGCCGGCCACGAAAAATTGATGCCAGGTCATACGAAGTGCTGCACCTGTCACGCAAAATCATCTCAGCAAACCTACAGATCTGATACTCCAAAATGCAGCCCTTCTCAGGAAATCAGCGCCCTGACCTCCTAACATCTCTGATGAACATGTCTTTGTATTGCGCCTGCCACGCGAAATGCATCTTTGCAGATCCTCTTCAAATGCCCCACGCCTGCCATGGTTTTTGGAAATGCTACAAAACCCTCACGTTTTACTCACTTTTGAGAATCTGCACAATCCCTTGCGCCTGCCACGCGAAACGACATCTGAATCTCCAAAAGTGGCGCGAACATGTGGTGTTTTGTACATTTTGACATCGAAATGTGCTTCGCGCCACAACGGCGTGCACTTTTTCGACGTCTCAACTTCCAAAAGTGGTCCGAACATGGTGTGTTTTGCACATTTTGACTTCGAAACGTGCTTCGCGCCACAACGGCGTGGACTTTTTCGACATCGCAACTTCTAAAAGTGGTCCAAAGCTGAATTTTGACTTCGAAATGTGCTTCGCGCCACGACGGCGTGGACTTTTTCGACATCGCAACTTCTAAAAGTGGTCCGAAGCTGAGGTGTATTGTACATTTTGACTTGGACATGTGCTTCGCGCCACAACGGCGTGCACTTTTTCATCTCTCATCTGGCCAGATGGCTCCGCACCCGCCGCTTTTAGCGAGCCTACCTTTCGACCCTCCGGAGCTTCAAATCATTGGAAAAACACAGTGTTTCGCGACTTTCCTACCTTTTCGCGCATCTCCATCTTCTTTCTTCTGACTCTTTCTCTTCTCTCATCTTCTCTCTTCTAATCTTCTCTTCTCTCTGACTCTTCCCATCTCTGCTTTTCATCTGTCCATATTGTCGGAAGTTTGACTTCTAAATTTCCTTCGGACATAACTATGGAAAATCACCATTTTTCATGGGAAAGTTCACTATAAATGACCATTTTCAATAGCACAGTTTACCAGAGAGCATGTCCAATCAGTACAAATCGCTGAACATCTCCTGTGCAACGAAAATCGCCCGTTTGCTGAGGCTTTCCATCCACCAATGACCAGGAAAATGCCTATGATGATTCACCTAGACATGCCACGACCAGCGATGGCAACCTTTGGCACAAGCCTTAGCAGCCTTAGCATGAGCTGATTGGATCATGTTTAGGCTTAGCCTGAGACAATGTTTTTTTTTGTCAGACCTTCAAAGGCGTTTGAGGACGTCATGTTTTTTTTTAAACGTTCGAAGGTTTTGAAGGATGTAAAATTGCATGTTAGAAGGTGGAGTAAGGTGAAGGCATGCAGAATGGGTATGAATCAATATGAATCAGATGGGAAAAGAATGGATATTGTTCTCTGGCCGCTGGAAAGCCCAGCGCAACATTCGCCGAGGTTACGAATTTCCAATCAAGCCAGCCAGCTTGATATGGTCAATACATCCAGTGGCAAGAGAGAAATTAAGTGAGGCCCTCAGTGCCTAGGCCTTTTCGCAAATTTGCGCAACAACGTGATAGGTACATCATAAATTGAATCTTCAATTTCTAGCCTTTTTTCTCATTTCCATGCCATTTCTATGCTGTTTCCATACCATATTGGTAGTCCCAATCGTTCTGAACGCCTTCGCGCTGATCAAGGAAGAGGCCGTACACCTCGGCGATGCTGCAAAGTTGGAACAAATTTTGTTTCAGCGGTGGCGTGGTCTCAGCCTCAGACAAAAGGCACCGGCACGGGTGATTTGTGGTGATTTCATGACGAAACTATACGAAATTTCAAGAAAAGGAAGTTGAATTGATGGAATTTGCATGATTCACTTGTATAGTTCTATGTTGCACAGGTCTTGCATGGTGCTGCAATCTTTTGATTTGAATGGTGCTGCATTTAATAAATTTAAGACCTGGTTCATTCCCGGCCTCAGGTAGAGATGTCGGCCAAATTCCCTGGCAGACCTGTTAGGGGCCCAGCAGCTGTACTCGGGTACCCTCAAGCCATGGGTTTAATAGTTTAATGTTGTATGATTTGGGGCACCTCTACTTTAGGAAAAAGAATATCCCATTAACATCATTATCGCAATAATATATCTCATCAATGTTCCATCAATATTCCATCGATATCCCATGAAACATCGTATTTATACAGTATCCCTGATGATATAGTCATAGCAGTCACAGCTCCCACAACTGACAACGACGCCCGTCGAGTTCCGCGAGGACATCCCAGGGCTTTGGCCGGCCTTTTGGCTCCTGGGAAATCTCGGGCGAGCGACGGTCGAAGCATCCGTCAACAACGTCCGGGCCCGGGGAGGTCCCATTGGGGACGCATTGGGGACGCCGAAATGCCGAAATGACCGGCCTTTTTTAAAACATTGGTTTTTCCAATTTTTTCCCAACATTCGATGATCCCAAATCCAAATCCGAAAAACATCTGTTTCAAGACTACTCCCAGTGTCCTGTACCAAGGTCTGGCCGTACACGTACTCGCAGTGCCCGTCGGATCAGATGGACAATGCGAATCAGGATCCACGGAAACAGCAGCGGATCAACGAATGCACCGGCCTCAGGCGGTGGATCGTTGCTATGTTTGGAGTGAACAGTTCACCCTGGGTGGCACTACACCTGATCCAGTTGGATTTGACTTGGCTTGATCGAGTTTGGGATTACTGGTGGAAGGTCCTGAAAATTCTGAAGTGTCTCCAATCCACCAGCCATTCTGGGCCTTCCAACATTTTTGGGCCGTTTTTCATGTCTGAAATCCATTGAAATCCCAGACCTTGATGCGCCCCCTGAAACCCCGAGCTGAGGTTTAGGTGAAAATTGGACTCAACGCTACGGGCTTCATCCACACCAGGGTGCCTAAGCTCAGTGATGGAAATGTCTTGGGTCTTAGGCAGAGCACCAAGAGATGCAAAGTGAAAATGATCCAACATCGGAGACACCAAAGAATCATATTTCAACAAAAATGTCATGCATTGTCATGTGTTCTTTTAATTGTATACTGTATAATAAGTGTCTATGATCTATTTCATTATCTGGTTGGTGGTTTGAAACATGTTTTCCATATATTGGGAATGTCATCATCCCAATTGACAAAGTCATATTTTTCAGAGGGGTAGGTGGCTCAACCACCAGTTGTTTCGTTGATGTTGCAGGCCGAGGGGCGCTGGAGATTGATATTTTGGAGGTGTTGCCCGGAAGCCATGGCCCCAATTACAAGAAGGACAAGGCCCATGGCCGTTGCCATGGTGATTGGGGATGATTGGGAGATTACCTGGCTATAAGATGTTATAAGTTACAGTTGGTTACATGATGTTACATGTACTTATTTTAATGGATTTTAAGATCACCTTTTTTTTCAAGGTTGGAATTGATGTCGGATGACTTGGGCAGGTCCAATTGCTGAACTTGGATGAACTTGGGGGGGGGGGGGCAGGGCAGCCAAAAAAATCGCGACCGGTGTCATGCGCAGGTGGAGACTGGCATTTGCCAACCTCAAAGCGAGGTCCTTTATACCAAGCTGGATATGCCACGGCCACATTTGCAGGGCACTGAGCATCGGAGTTTTGTTCTTTGTTGATTTGCCATTTCATATCAGTTCGTGGATTTATCTGAAAATGGGGTATACCCCAATTATCACGGTTTTTCACGGTGCTTCATGGTTTTTCATTGTTTGTTGATGTTTTTCATGGTTTATCATGGTCTATCATCATTTTCCCTCAAAAATTGCCCATGGTTCCGACATCCCGAGGCTGAACACGCTGCAGGCCGCGCCCGGCATTCCCTTCTTGGCGGATCAACGGCCACCTTCGCCACCGCGGCTGAACACCACTTGCGCAACTCGGCGCAATGTGGAAATATGGTGGAAATATGGTGGAAAACAGTTGAAATATGGTGGACATATGGTGGAAAATTGTTGAAATATGGTGGAAATATGGTGGAAATATGGGGGTGGGTCGACTTAGCTATGAAACTTCTATATGGGATATATGGGGGAATAAACATCCAGCTGTACCAGCTAGGGATTACTATGGTACCGTTTGGGTGCCAGGGTTTTGACAAAATAACCATATGTTGAAAATCCCTATTTGGAGGACAGAATGGTGAGAATGTAATAGGAGACCATGACATTTATAATGGGGATATATGATATATGATTCATATTGATATAGAAACAACTTAAAATGACAGTTATCTTGCTGTGAACAGGCTTGGATGACTGGTTGGTGGTTTGGAACATGAATTTTATTTTTCCATATATTCAGAATGTCATCATCCCAACCGTTACTCAGTCCATCATTTTTCAGAGGGGTAGGTGGCTCAACCACCAACCAGATGATTATTCACCATCATTAACCATATAATAACCATTAATATTAACCATATATTAACAGTCTATTACCAACCAATGGTAGGTCAACCACCAAGCAGATTGATTACTATTGTTAAACATGATTAACCACTATTAACCATTATTAACCATGATTAACCATTAATGATGATGATCATTTTTCTGTTGTGTTTTTCCTAGGGATTTCCCGTTCACGACCCCAGGATTTCCCCGACCAAGGTCCCAGAATGGGGCAAGCAATGGTACGATGGTCTACGGCCTGAAGCTCCAGGGGTGCTGGCCTCGATTGGGCAATGGGAATTGGTTGTACAGTAATCAATATAATTGGTTTCATATATATATAATATGTATGCATATTTATTTGCTTAGTTTAGTTACTTAGTGTAGTTAGTTAGTTGGTTATTCAGTTATTTATTTGTTTATTTATTTATGATTATATGTATATGAGTTCAGGTTCAAGCGTGGCATTTCAGCATCTCGGAGACCAAGGTATATGGAAGTTCGTCCACCATCAACTACCACAATTACGGTGGCTTGGCGCAGAAGCCATCCCAACAGCTCGCCCCTGTGAAATAAGGGTGTTATGGAAGACTATTTTCTTGATCTTTCTTGTAGAAATCGACAATTCTCAGGGTCTATGTTAATTTGATTTAATCTGTGTTAATTTGGGAAATGGTAGCCATCATGTCGAATCTTTTTGGCAGAGAACTGCATCGAAGAAGTGCGTGCAGTCAAGTCTGAGTTGCGTTGACACCAGCATGCTTCCCATTGTCCACTTGCATCATCAAGAAAACAAAATCACAGCAACAAGCAGGGTTCCTGTTCAGCCAAAGCCGCATCATGATTTTAGGGTTTCACACTGCCAGGTAAATACATTGTCAACATCAACGATTGGACAGACGTCAGATTCCCAGTTCAGTCCTGCTGTAATATCTCCAACAGACGCCAAATTGAATTTAAATGATTGCCGAGGTTGCCTGCATAAACTGAGGGCATAGCGGGGGTTGTGAAGTTGTGAAACCCCAGTTTCAACTTATCAATTTGCAACTAGTGAGCACAGTTGTCAAAACAGCCACCTGATGTGTACCGACTGTCGGTGGTTTGAATCTCCGTCATTTTTCCATAAAAATTGTGTTATGTGGGGCCCACTACAGTACCCGTCCATGAAAACAGACAGTGGCATTGTCGGTGAAATGTGTCCATGAAATCCACAGGTGAATCATATCCATCATTTAAATCCATGAATCCCATGAAAATGGCCTACAATAAAATACTGGTTGGTGGTTTGGAACATGAATGTTATTTTTCCATATATTGGGAATGTCATCATCCCAACTGACGAAATCATATTTTTCGGAGGGGTAGGTATACCACCAACCAGATTGATTACTTTTTTAAACATGATTAACCACTATTAACCATTATTGACCATTACTATTTCATATTTTTCGGAGGGTTTGAAACCACCAACCTGATACAATAAACAACAATAAACATCAATAAACCATGGATCGAACTGGGTTTAATGATTTAGCCATCGCTAAGCCAACCATTTTGTAGAGCTGGTGTTGATGCAGAGCTAGCAAATTCTAGGGATATACTATGATATACTGATATACTAGGTAGACTTGCTACTGCCATTTTTTCAACTATAGCATACTATCTATAGCTAAATATCTTGGTTGATAAACCTGAACAATTAAACATCAATAAACATGAATTTACCCCATGATAAACCCATGAACCATAGGACCATAGGTGATCAGTTCAACCAGCCCCAAGGTCCAGATCCAAGTGGATTCCATCGGAGCCATGACGCAGCTCAGCGAAGATGCCTTCAGTGGGCAGCATGTCGGGGGCCCGAGCCATGCCGCGGCGGACGACGTCGGATGTTTTTTAATGACTTTAGCCATCAAAAAGTTGGCGATTGATGTGGTTTAAACATGGAAAAAAGAAAATATCACGTGGATGTGAGTCAAAACGGTGAATCTTGGATTTAAGTCGACTTGAAGTCAGACAAATGTGGATTTGAGCATGAAAATTGCATTTACGTCAGAATTGAGGGTTGCAGATTTTCTCTTGGCCGGTGAGTCCTTGGATCTTCCATTGCAGAATGATTCAAAAGAGGAGACCGAGACTGTCTATTTGGCGACCTTTTTCGCATGAAAACAGAATAATTAAACATCTATAACAATCAAAGAACGGATAAATGGTTTTACAGGATATAATTTGTTTATATGTTTATTGTATATAAAACCAAACAATCAAAGAACGGAAAACAGTCTTGACGATTGCGATCACGAGCACCAGCTGCTGGAGCAACGGATTGGACGTGGGGATTGGGCTAAGGTCTACCGCTTTGAATGGAGCACGGAGGGCGATGGCCAGTTGACGTTTTGGATGGATGGGCAACTTTTGTACAGGCAATGGGGAGCCGGAAATTGGCATGGCTGGCATGGGGCAGTTCCATGTTGATCCCTTGTGGTGGCTTATGTGGCTTCAATTTATAAAGGTTATGCACTGCTTGACGGGATTGTGGACTAGTCAGATATGAATTTGGGGCGGGGTCAGCAATGTTCTAGCGGCCTCACTCTCAGATATGTTCTAGCGGCACGTGTTCCCTTACTTCTAGTAGTGAGCTTTTATGAGGCTCTAGTGGTCGTCGTCAAAGGTTTGCTATAGTTTGTTTGTTTTTGCACATCTCAATTTCGAAGACTTCCATCGGTGGAAATAAATGTAAAGTCTTTACAAGAAGCTTATAGAATGTGCTACATGTCTTGTGTATATACAGTACAGTACATTACATTACATTACATCACATACATACACATCTGTAATCATATGTATATACTGCACATATATATGTGTGTGTATGTGCCTCTATATATATATATATATATGTACACGTATACGGTGACTTCAATATCTATGAGTAAATTCCATCACTGAACAGAAGAGTTCCACCATTCAGCGACCCCGCATTTCTCCTGACCATCCTGACCCAGGCTTGATGGGAAGGTCTTGGCACAGAACATGGTTGTTGCCTCAGCTTGTTGCCTGTTGCGAACGTGATTTTCTATGGAAGTGTCCCATAGACGAACAATTTGGTTTAGTATGGGATATAGAAAATGGGATTTCCAAAATACTCCAAGATGGTGATATCGTAAGTTTTCTGATTTGGATAAGCCTATTTATCTCGTGCTTTTGAGATCTCCCAGCGAGTTGAACATGATAAACTCTCCATGATGTCCCAGTGCCATGGCATGCGGCATTCCCCATAGACAAACCCAAGTGGAGAATATGGCTCATAGTTAAACCTGCACGGAAATGGTGAAGATCTACGAATCTCAGAGATAAAGCACCAGCGATATGAATATCATTGAATATCCATTGAATATCCACTGAATATCCATTGAATATCATTGAATATCCATCGAATATCATTGAATATCCACTGAATATGATTGAATATCATTGAATATCCACTGAATATCCATTGAATTTCATTGAATATCCACTGAATATCCATTGAATATCCACTGAACCATTGAATATCCACTGAATATCCATTGAATATCCACTGACCAGCTATTTTCAACAATGGTCCGTTTTATCTCCTGGGATTGTTGGTGTCCTATGACTTCCATCCCCTTTGGATGCCCCAGTCAGCCGTTCACCATGTGTTGTCATCCTCGAGCTCAGATTTCCAAAAAAAACACACACCTCATCATATGGGGATGGGTCAATACCTATTAATACCATTTTTAATGGGATGAACATCCATTTACCAGCTATTTTGATGTTCACCAGGGGTACAAGGTTTTGACACACTGCCATATGTATTCATATGTTACATACAGAAAAACAGGACATCATTTGGATAAAGGCTCCATATGTCCCCTTCATAGCTTTGGCTCTCCTCGTTTCCAGCGGCGATGGCGGAAGAGCTGAAGCTTTCCCAGGAGAAGCCGCCACGACGGTGGATTGAGAACCCATTCGGTTGGTTGCTGGGCACCGAAAGGCACCGAAATCTCCGGAAAATCTCATGAAATCTCCGGATGGGGTTCCAGTTCGGAATCGCTAAGTTCGTGCAAATAACTATAATAACAAGTTGGTGTATGATACGTAAATAACTATATTTGGATGAGGTTATGAACCAACAAACATAACCGGGGGGCCTCATCCTGCAGATATTTGATGAATATGGATGATCTTATGGATGATTTCTGATGATCACATAGCATGAAAAAATATTACATAGTTGTATTTCTGATGATGTTTACCATCATGAAGAAGTTGTAAGTCATCAGAATGTTTGATCATCAGATGATTAAACACCTAATTATTACGATAACAAACATCAAACTTCATCTAACCATAAAAATAGTTGAATACGTCTGATTCGTTCTGATAGTTCATGAGATTTCATATGATATACTATATGTATATATACATATTAAATTAATTATAACTTATCATGCAGATGATGAAGTCTTGATGATCAACGACCGAGGTGGCAAGGGACCTCTTTGGCCTGGAACAGCAAGGTGATACTGTTTGCTGGGATTTGATATGTGTTCACGGGGTTTTTGCAATGGGATCTATTGTATGATTTTATATGATTTTAACGGTGTTTTGCGGGATTTGATAGGATTTGGAGCCCCAGCCCAGTGGTGGAGTTTTGTTTCACCAGTGAATGGTTTCCGCGTCCAAGATTCCGGGACCCGTAGTATCATGGAATCAAATCACATGAAATAGTGGTTAGTACTGGTGAATACTATGGTTATTTATGGTTAATAGTGATTAATACTGGTTAATCATGAAATACTGGGTGAATAATGGTTCCATTCTAATGCCATCAGAATCTTCAACTCTTCAAGGTGTTTTTTTTCCCCGCCTCCAGCGGAGGTGACCATTTGGAATGGCACTGGTGAGGCTGAGGCGTTGAGCGAGTTGTTCGTGGATAATCTGGGGTCGTTGCTGGGCACCACCACTGCCTGCGTCCACCAAATCGGCTACGCCATCGTGGGCCGCAACGAAGACCTCGCTGCGGGCGACTACGGCCTGCAGATCGCGAAGGTGCCGATGTCTGGTCCAAAAAGGTTACAGGAACGGGAAACTATGGGAAATCCATTCAAATGCGGTAGACTCAATAATAATTAAACCATATTAAACCTCCAAGTTTGGACATTTGGTATATTTATGCCAGCCGTTTCTCGTGGAATCGAACGATGGTTGATTTCCATACTTGGATCTTGATGCTGCTCCACTTGCTGAGTCTTGTGGGAAAGGCGCTTCCGAAAAAAAAAAAAAAAAACTCGGAAATAGTGATGAGATTGTGACAGAGTTGCAAAACTTAATTTGGACGTTTCTGAACGATTTGACGTATGGAACCTGAAGATGGCCAGTTTAACGTACTTTTCAACTTGTAGAGCCAGGAAACCCAGTCTGTCGAAGCAAAAAAAAATTATCCAAAACACCCCCATGTTTGGTGCAACCTTTCTAATTTCCATGGTTGTTAGAGGATTGTATTCTAAGCCCCAAAAGAGATCTTATGACCAAAGATCTTCAGACTTCTTCAGACCGGGGAGTCATTATTCAATTGCAGGATGTTGACATATAGTAGTAACTTTAGTAATTAATAATAATGATAATAATGATCATGATTATCATTACAATCATAGTCAATAATATTAGTCCTAATAACAGTACTATGGTGTTTGCGTGTCTTGACAGGAATGGGAGAAGATCTACTTCACTCGCAACATTCCCGGTTGCGCCTTCTCCCTCTTGCTGGGCAACCTCTTCTACGCTTGGCAGGCTGGCCGTTTGGGCAACAAGGAGGGTCGAACGGATGTCACCGCACAACCCTACGGCATCGCCACCACTGGCATTTACATCACTTTGTTCGCCATCCAACTACCAGCGCTGTTGGCTGGTGCTGAGATCTACAAACCTTCCGACCCCCTGGATGCGGCTGAAGTGCAACATGCGGCGTACAGTGCAGCGGAATATGCTTGGAAGGTCTCGGTGGCATGCAACTTCCTCCTGGGGATTTGTGAGCAACTTTGATGCAATGTTTTTTTTCCCCATGCATCCTTTATGAGCGTGTTGCAACCATATTGTGAAATACTGATTTACCAATATTTACCTTACCCTACCATACTGACCTGGGATTATCATCGGTTCATTCACTGCCTCGCAATGCGAGTTTTATTTGTAGTCGTTGTCTCCGATGACCAGATTCCATCTACTGAATCATCATTTCTCCATAGCCTGATTTTGCTCACTGAAATGCTAACAAAATATTGGGCCTGGGTATCCCCAATTGTAGACACCTTTTTTTAAACCCCCAGGATGCTCGGGGCATTGTGCGGAGAGACCATTCGGAAACTGGCTCCAACTGCCGCCTTCTACGCTCCCATGACGGGAGTTGGCTTCGTCTTCTTAGCTTTTGTGCCGATGCTTACGATCGCTCAAGAGCCGATGATGTGCTTGATACTGGGTCGCCATGGAGAAAAAAAAACATGGGCCCAGTAGCTCCCCATGAACTGCATTTGATCCCTACTCCTATTGTTCAATGCTGAAATCACATGATATTCGGATCATATGGGTGAACACTTTGGAGACGGGCCACTGGGGTTTTAAAAAAGGGGCAGCACCAGAAGTCTCCTCCCCAAAGTCCTACCCAAATGGAGGCTGTGAAGCGATATAAAGTTTGAAACTGAAGGCCTGTGTTTGGAAATTTGGAAGTCCGAATAAATAAATATGGAGGTGTCCAATCCATGGGGGTACCCCCAAATCATCCATGTCAATAGGATTTTCCACCATAAACCATCAAGCTATTTGGGTACCCCCATTTCAGGAAACCTCCATATCATGAGAATCTTGCAGGCGGAAGAAGTTGCAGTTCTGGAGGTCAGCGCATTTTCGTTCAAAGGAAAAACAATTGGTTGGTCGGTGAATACACTTATTAGTAGGAGTTACCCATGACAAGAAATCCCTATGTAATGATTCTGGCTCTATCATCCTCTTTTTAGACTTCCACATGTCTCCTTTTGACCGTGGCTGAAGTAGCAACCAGGATTCCATTGCTCATTGTTTTCAATGGTTTCTTCGGTGGTGTCCGCTACAAACTCATTGGGATGCTTGGCTAAAGCAAGCCCAAAGAAGTCCACTGTGTATCAGTGGGCCAAGAAATTTGCATGAGTTGGTTTAATAGTGTTTGTATATTTTGTCCCAAACCATCCGGTGATTGACTTTAGAAAAAGCACTTTTTATAGTTTTGTCCCAAACCATCCCAATATTTCCCTTTATTTGATCCTTTGATCCTCCAATTTCTTTGGGGCTTAGTAACCACCAGCAACCGCAGGAAGCTCACCATTCCCATTGGTTTCTTGGCCATGGCATCTGCTTCCATGGCTGGCTGGCTTGGAGCTTGCAGCCGAAGCCATGGCACGTTGGGTGCCGAGAAGTTGGGGTACCTGGGGAAGTACTTTGATATTGACCAGGCAGGGCAACATGCTGCTTTGTTTAGATATTTTAGATGGATTTAGCATGATTTAGCATGATGTGAAGCGATGTGCGGATTTTCCCACCTGCCATCATTTCCGATTGTTTTTCTTCACATCACTCAGTGTTGGTCAGGTCACTTGCATCGGCACATCAGCAGAACAAGCAACGGCAGCTTGGGACATGTATGCCTTCGACGGCAATGTCTTGTCCAATTCCGTCTTCGTCGGACTTGGTTCGGTATCCCAGTCCAACATTCGATACGTGTCCCTGGCTGGTGTGCAAGGCTATATAACTACTAGTCACCTTCAGGTAATCTCGACCAGAAAAATCTCGCATGTTTGCATCCATTTGTATGTACAGCAGATGATTTTCCCATTAAAAGGCAGTTTCCATTGCCAGGTTAGATTACCGGACACAAGTGTGGCTCTGTGGCGGCACAACTGCTTGGGGGGCTGAAGCAATCCACATCCTTGCGAAATTGGATTTCCAGAAGACAATGACTTGCAATCAGACACAACTGTACCAAGTCAGGTTTGCATCATTATCATTCTATGTATATATATATATGTGTGTGTGTATACATTGAATGTACCATTTTTGCGAAATGATATATGTTGCACGAAGCAAAAGCCAACATACTCAGACGTAGTCGAGCACGCTACATCTCCGAAATATATGGTTGTGCTCAAGGGATTCAGAATGGTAATACAACCTGCTGTAGAATGGGATGTGGATATTTGACCATGGATTCAAAATCATGATTTCATCAATTGCATATCTGTAATTTCAAGTGATTTCTATCCATGGATTTGAATCCTGCTGCCTATAGGAGGGGGCTTTGAGCACGTGGGCAGCTACATTCCTAGTGTCTTGCTCGTGGGAATCGTTGGCTTCGTCGCAACCATGAGCTGCGTCGAGAGTGCGTCTGCTGCAGGTGGGAACAGACATTGGTAGTTTGCGACGACAAAATGTCTGGAATGTCCTGTGCATATCTGTGCATATCTGTGCATGTTTGTTTCGGACCAGCTTGCCCAGTTAGATTTCAAATGTCTATAGATACTCGTATGGATGTGTCCCAAAATGGAACTCCCCGAAGACACCCAGACATCCCATGACATCCCCTGACGCATTGCTAAGGTGATGACTACCCAATGGCTGAGACCATGCTGGTGGATGGCTTGGGCACCATCATTGGGGCATGTTTTGGATCTTATTACTCCACCACGGTCTACATCGGCCATCCGATTCACAAAGCCTTGGGTGCCAGACGTGGCTTCAGTGTCTTCAATGGAATTCTCTACTTCATCCTGCACTTTGTTGGCAAAGGTTAAACCCTTCAACCTGCCACAAACAACACATAACAAAGGTGATTTCCAAGCTTCGAAACCGATCAGTTTACATGGCCACTTTCCAACTTGTGCCTTTGCAAAAGGTTGTGACTTTACCTGGGCGTCCAAGGCTGTTGAGTGGAATGTTCGCCTGGCTGTACAACGTGCTGCCCGCCTGTGCCAGTGGATCCATCTTGGTCTTCGTGGGTCTTCTTTTGGGTCGTCAGGCCTTTGAAGAGACGCCACCTCGGCACTAGCCACCTGTCGAATTTTTTTAGCCCGTGGGACTCCCTGGGAAATTGGGAAATTCCAAACCTTTTCAGCTGCGAAATGGAAGAAAAGGTGGTTGATCAATTGCAGAGAAGCCAATCCAAGCCATTGAAAACTTGGATGGCTATGAGTATGGTTGAGTTTGGAAACCTCTAAAAATGTCAAGAATTTTTGCAAAAAAAACAGACCTGATGCAGTCCGGCCTCCTGAGTCCTGCACTTCTGATGAGCCTCTTCCCATACATCTGCAACTGGGCCAAGTTGCAAAATGACAACGAAGGTGTCCTGATGATGGGCCAGGGTGGCGGCCTCATGTGCCTTGCCTTCAGGGAAGTGGTATGAAATGCTATGAATAAAGCACAATGAAGCGAAAAGAAGCGATTTTGTAAAGAGAGTAAAGAGAGAATTGAAAGGAGAAACATCAAACATCCACAAAACATCCATAAAAACCTCCTGAGATTTGATGGTTTGAACAGTTGAACAAATATGACACTCTCTGTGTGTCACAGGTTCAGCATCGTGATCACCTGGCTCTTCTGTTTGTGCATTGACCGAAAGTTCCTTCAAGTGGCTGTGCTGCGCCATGAGGGATCCATTCACCATGCAAATTCTGTTGGGACAATCTTCCAGTCGGAAGAATGTGAAGCATTGTAAAAAGGATGGAAAAGGTCAAAACCTATAGTAAAACACCATAAAACACCTTAGTTTTGGGTGGCCACCGCCACCTATACCAGCTGTATTTTTTAAATGGTCTTCCAAGGTGTTGATCGGTAGCATGAGGAGCTGACTGTGTCATGAGGGACCCCAATATGGACCGGAACGCAGGGAAATCATTGGTTAGAAAGGATAGGTAAGGATTACATATAGGATTAATAGGATCACATCTCAACTGTTTTCGGAAATCAGTTGAACTGATTCCATCGCTGTGGATATTTATACTGTAATTGTTTATCACATCCTAAGATGTGGGAGAGAAATTGACACGAGGGTATACCCCATCGACATGGATCTAGAGTCATGGAGATTTATTAGTCCATCAGGGGATTGGAGGGATATCTTTGGCGCTTCGAGATTTCTTCAATTTGCTTTGTGATTTTAATCCAATTTTTGGGGTTGTTTTTCTCTATGCATTGCCCAGCTGGCGGTGTCATGGCATGTCTCCAGCTGGCGAAGGCAGCAGTTCTCTCTTTGGTGGCGATTTTTCTGTCCCTCTTCGGATTCTTTGCATCCCACAACGCCGTCACTTGACGTAGCGGCGTTGCGGGCGAGCGTCGCGTCCTCCAAAAATAGCGGAGCTTCACCCACACTGAAACCCCTATGATCTGAACCCAGCTAGGATGATTTAAGGTCAGCATTCCACAGATATTTGTAAACAGCCGATTGCTACAAAATGCTACAAACAAGTGAACATAAGTGAACAATGTACTTCGACATGGTTTTTCTATGTTTTTCTTTAGAGCAACAAAATGAGTCCAGTCGAACTGTGATTGAACTCGACCACTAAGACAAAAAAGTTTCGAAACTCCCAGAGCCATGTTTGCATCTTCATTGGACGAAGTGTCAGGCCAACAGCACGAAGCCAGCCACAAAGGGCGACGAGAAGATTGGCTTCTACGGCATGGAGGACATGAACTTCTACGTTTTAAATTACCCTCTGGTAAACCACCATTTTTAATAGGAAAATCCACTATAAATGGCCATTTTCAATAGCTATGTTAAATTACCAGAGGGTATGGTTGTTGAGATGTTGAGACCGAGCTTCGGACTTTCACCTGTGGGAGGTTTGGATAGTCCGTTCCCCAGGACCACGAGTACAACAACGGCTGGCGTTGGGCAGTTGCGTGGTCCCTGGCCGTCGCTTTCTTCCTAGTCCACTTTGCCATGCAGAAGCTGCGCCTCATCGCAGCTCCTTACGAAGAAGTGCCCAAAGAATCCACCGCAACGTGGACGGCAACCGGAGAAACGCAAGTTTTGGGCGGAGCATTTGATATTTGGAGGTTTCCAATCCATGGGGGTACCCCAAATCATCCAAAATTAGACCATTTTATTAATATTTTATTAATATTTTAGGATTGAAACCCGTGGTTTGGGGGATCACCCCGTTTTGAGAAATCCACTGATGGGTTTATTGGGATATATTGGGATTGTCATGAGCCAGTACTATATGTGTGCCAAGCAGTGCCAAGCAGTGTAATCGGATAGGAACGTTCTATTATTCATAGCCAATGTGGAATTTTGGAGAATTTTGCAGAACTTAGAAAAAGCATCGTTTTTAGGTTGGGAGTGATTTGTTTGAGGATTTTGAGGGATCCCCAAAATTGAGTTGTGATATGTGCACCCCGCAGTTATGCCTCAGGCGTCCAAGGGCTTGACGCATACGAGTCGAATGAGCAGACAATTTGAGTGCGAAAGCAATGAAAGTGACCTGAGCACAGGAATATCATAGGAACCACCGGTAACCACCTCCTTGAGAACTTTGAAGGCCACAATCCACTTGTTGCGATGGAATTCCCGAAGTTTTTGAGAAGGACACCATCAGCAGGGACAGCTTGAGAGGTGTCAACATCGTGTGGCAGCACAGCAACAGACGACGTCAAGGCCAAGATGCTGATGCAACAATTCACATAATTCACCGGGCTTGCACTCGGCGGAAAAACGGTACCGCTTTTGCTATTGGTGAGAACTGTTTTGGAAAAACATGTCTCACTTTCATCTTCCAACCCCTGCTCAGCATGAAGACTGACAGTGGGGAAAAAAGCGAGCGATCCCCAACTGGGGAGGATGTACCGGTGCTGCTCGGAATTGCTCGAAGTGAGTATTGCCAATTTTGAGACACAGAAAGATGGCGAAAAAGGATCAGTTTGCGGGATGGATTTTTCACTAAGTCAGATTGTTTGAGGTTGGCTAATGTTGGCTATGGAATGTTTGCAGAGGATCACAGTTCTCCGCAGCAACGACCAGAAGGGTTTTCCAGGGAAAAGATTAGCCCCCATCCAATCACTTGGGCAGCGAATGAGGTCGGATAACAGAGGCCGCACAAAGGGTTGCAGATTCATCATATTGTATGCTAACATATGTTAACATATGTTATATAACTATTGCTAATTATACTAGCTGCTAGCTATACAAGCCATATTGTGTGTCATTGTGTGTCGGTGCGTAGTTAAACTTCCATATATTTCAAGATATCTGAACAACAGAATACATTGAGTCGCCGTGTTTGTTCAACAACGTGTGCTCCCATGACACGCCAAGGCCATCACGAAGGATGGTAAGGTCAGAGACTCGGATTTTGGCTTTCTTCAGAAGCTGCACTGGCAATGGATGAGAAATGTTGGATCAGAAATGGATGAATGAAGGAATCTAATAAATGATAATAATTGCATTTAATGTGAGAAACAGATACCCTCTGGTAATTTAACATAATGGAAAATCACCATTTTCAATGGGAAAACTCACTATTTCATACTATTTCTATGGCCATGTTCAATAGCTATGTCACAAATTACCAGAGGGTAAATCTTATGTTATGAAATGAGATCCCAATAAATTGGCCGATCCGACATGATCCGACATCCAAATCATCCAATTTTCTGATGCCAGGAGGTGGGCACTCTACTGGCGCGACAATTGCTACTTGAGTCACCTGGTGAGAAAAAAACCGGAGGATTCCGGAGGATGTCGGAGGGATTTGGGACAGTTCAAGACGTTTCAAAGTTGCTAAAGAATGCTACTGGGAGAAGTTCCATCCCACTTTGCTTGGGATTTTGGATAATTTTGGGGATGGCTGAAAGGTGACATGGAATGATCATGAATGATCCAAAGTCCATAGCTCGATTTCTTGGACGATCTTCAGCTTCGATGCGAGGCCTCTATCGATGATCCTCAACATTGACGTATCGAAGCAATGGGGATGGGTTGTGGCCTCAGATGGCCGGCCTTCCAACTTCAACAAACATCCTAAAACATCCTAAAACATCCTTGTTAGGTGCTGAAAATCCTCCATTTTAGGTGCTGAAATTTGTCAAGATTTCCCAAGGGGACTTGGCTGACCGAAATTGCCGCTAGGACATCATCGAGCAGGAATGTGGAGGATCTTGTGGTTGTTGTCTCGACTGTGGTGAGCCGGAATGCATATCTTGCATGCTCGAGAGCCTTGCGCTAGATTCCGCTAGATCAGTTGGAGTATGTTGGAGTTCTGGTGATTTCTGGTGATTTCTGGTGTTTGTGTTTGTTCCGAGGGGTCCAGATCAGAGAATCTTGCTTAAAGTTCTGGATGGAATGGAAGTGTGAATGGAACAGCAATTGGATGGCTAGATGTAGATGCAGTGTGAATGGAAGGGTCCTTAGAATCAGAATTAGAGATGAAACCTGCAAATTTCAAGCGGGTGGTGAGGAGCAGACATCTCCCCTCACAGCATGTTTGCTAAGGAAGGGCAAAGGCCACGAATTCCTTCATCAGCTTTGCAGGCACCAGTTGGGATCTTTTTGCCAGTCATACTTGTGGGTGTGAATTTGGATTTGTCTGAAAATATGGTACTCATGGTACCCCCATTCCATCCATTGGTCAATCATGATCCTTGTTATTGATGGCCATTTTGGGGGGGTTCACCACTGTCATTTTAAGTCTTAGCTTCTCAAGGACTTTGCCTGCCACCTATGAAGTGGACTACATCAGGGTTTTCCAGACGGAGGACGGCAGATCTGAAAAGTGGTCCGCCTCATGATTTTCGCAACTCTCAGGTCCTGGAATGTCAGATGGGTTTACTGTAGCATAAGAACCTTAAAAAGGTTACTCAATGTTATTCATATACTTATTCGATACGGGATACGTATCTCCATGATTAGATTAGTCGATCAAACTACATTGACCATACTTATCTCATCTTATCTCCATTAATTGTCCATTACAGTAAATGATATTATCCGGACTTATCCCCTTTATACTCCTTCATTAGTCACTAATTAGTCAATCAAGTTACGCTCGATCTGGTAATTTAACATAGCTAATTATTGAAAATTGCCATTTATAGTGGATTTACCCATTGAAAATGGTGATTTTCCATAGTTTTTTGATGTGTTTTGTATGTTTACCAGAAGGTATATCAAATGACGGTATCTTTTTGTTGGCTGAAACTCCACCTTTGTTGCGTTGTTTTTTTGTATCCAAAGATCGTTGCGTTGCCGCCGCAACGGAGCAGGATCAGCAAGCTGAAGATCGGCAGGGTTGCTCACCTAAGGCGATGGAACCCCCTGGCGAAGCCCCAAGCTAACTGGTCCATGGCTGTGAAAATAGTCTCCCAAATCTGGTGGGTTTTGATCATTTTGATCCATAGCTGCCATAGCTAAATTGGACCCTCAAGTTCAAAATCCCTGATGATTGATATTGAAAATTGCTGAAAATTGGTCGAATGATTTGGTTGAATGATGTTCAATGGTCATATTACCTGGTTTTTGTGGGAACTCAAGTTAAAAAGTTGGTGCTACTACGAAAAGCATTCTAAGTTTAGCATAGTTTAGCCACCTCATGCTAATATAACATAATATAACCAGTTCATTTTCTGGCAGCAAGTCTTTTTCGGAGACGTCGTGAACGCCGTGGTTCCCGTGGTTCCAGGTGGCACCAACACAGGGCTGGATCGACAGCCAGGGTTCTCGCTTCGTGCTGCCCAACTTTGATGCACCACTTCAGTTCCTGGGACCCGTGCTGTGAAGGTTGGTTCCTGCGAGAGGATATCGCTTGTTTGGAGCAAATACATTAAAATATGGCTTAAAGTATCCAGGAGACCAAGGCTAATACTGTACCCCACCTTTCATTAGCCAAACTCGTATATATATATATATATTTATATATATATATACACCTCATTTTTTTGGTGTATATGCTTGATACATCTTGACACCTTGACATCTGAGGCCCGTCTATGCAGGCGGAGGCAGGTGTCAAACCGACGCCAGTTGTGGCTCAAACTCAGGCGCTGGGAGCTGCTGATGATTCGACTGTCCTGGAAAGCTTTGCATCGAAATCTGTGTGTTGGCTTGCTGCAGTGTCACGTATCTATTAGTTAATTAGTTTTGATTGTCCCATTCATGTGTAGTTAATTGTAGTTCTATCATTTCTTGCTTTCATTTGATTCATTTCCCCTCATCCCCTGGTGGTGATCAAGCTAGATTACATCCCTTTGGATATCGCTCAAAGTTGCTACCACCTGCAGCATCCGGTGACAGATGTGTTCACTTTGGTAGGTTCAATGGGATCATTATTCTTAGCCATTCCAATGTAGAATCATATGTTGTCATTGTTTCAGGGGACTTTTCTTTTCATTTGTCATTGTTTCTGGGCTATCCAAGCTAAAGAGATTAGTTTTAAGATAGATAATGAATATTGAAAATCCATGAAAATCCTCCAGTCTCCAGCATATTTCATGGACCCTCATCATGCAAAACCCCAGGTGAATTGCAGAGGATGCTCCCATCATATCCCAGTCATATCCGCGTCATGCCGCAAGGGGTGCGTTTCCTAGGTGAATTCAACTGGATTTGCTACGGATTAGGTAAGCGGTTTTAATAACATGTGAATTAACCCATTCCAGAACATTCAGAACCAATTCTATGGATTTACAGGGTCAAATATATATATATATATACATATATATCCAGTATTATCCAGTTATATGGTTCATTAGCCAATTACCCCCCAACATTTGATGTACAATCTACCCCTAATCCCAAACTGGATAGATCCAGTACATATCAGACTAAACACCTGGAGGTCTCCCCCTTTTTTCACAAGTCCTATGTAGAAATGAGATATTTTTTTGTTTGGCTTCATCCCAAAATCATCCCCAAGTTCCTCACCAGGCGGTGGCACATGTCTGGATGGCGTTTGCAAATGCACCAAGGGCTGGACAGGGCCCAGTTGTTTGGCGCGCATGGCAGGGGCGGCCTTGACCTGCAGACCACTGGAGCCACGGGATGCCACGGTGGTGTGGGTCAAACTCGGCACAGTTTGATGATGTCATAATATTACAAACTACGACAAATTATGGTGTCGATTATGTGTATGTATATATATAATATATATATACAATGTATGTATGTATGTGTATATATATATATGTATATATGTGTGTGTATATACATATATGTATATATATATATGTGTGTGTATATACATATATGTATATATATATGTGTGTGTATATACATATATATATATACATATATGTATATATACATATGTATATATATATGTGTATATGTTAGTATATATATATATGTGTGTGTGTTTGATTCTGGCAAATCTGGTTCAAGATCATTCAATTCAACCTAGCATTTCGCCGACAAGGGCACTTAAGCAGTCGAATTTTGTTCCCAGCCCTTCCCCAATCTGCAGGAGGCGACGTTGGTGGGCGGTGGTCCGTGCTTCGTCAATTCCACCCATGACAATTGTGGGCAAGGTGGGCCCGGTATCATGCATTTGGGTTTCTTCAAATGATGATCGACCTCATAAACCATCAAATTTTGGGGGATACTGCAACAGATACCCGATTTTGAAATAAACCCCATATCAGGGCACCCATCGGGGCCATGTCATTTCTGTTTGAAGGCCTACAAATATCCTCAGATCTTTGCCCATGGTCTATGGGATCTTTCCCCATCAGATGTTTGGGATGCTAGTCGGCCCAGGGATCACCAAAAAGATGGAAAAATACTATTAATTATTATATATATATGTGTGTGTACATCAATCTATAATAGCTATATATCTATAACTATATGATAATATGTATATATGTAATATGTATATATATATATGTATATAAGATCTATGAATAAGCTATTAATGAAGCTATAGATTTGGGATGAACATCCTGATATCCCGATGGCAGGAACCTGCATCGAGATCAAACGTCCCTGGGATGCCCCTTGGTATCTTGGCTCGCAACTCATGGTGCTATGGTGCTGGGGCTGTGACTTTGCCCAAGACTGAGGAAAAAAATATGAAAAACATGTGACATAGCCTCCTGTAATCAAACATAGCACTTGGAAATCCCCTATAAATATTATAAATGGAGGTTTCTAGCTGGGAAAAGCAACTATATATGCCATTACAGGAGGGGTATGTCCAAATAGATTGTAACTTTTTGTAACTTGTGATACTAATTTTTGCTTGGGTAGCTGTTCAGATAGGGTTTGTCAAAAACTGGGGTACCCATGGATTCCCAACAATGGCAAAGCCGTGTGGATAGGGACCTGTCAAGGCAATCTTTTTGGACACCTTTATCTTATCAGACAAAAATAAACAAGTGCAAATCCACTAGGGCCGCAGAAGAAATTTCTTGCCAGTGAAGTGTTCTATAGTTTTATCATATGCTTGACCCATGAAAGCGGGATGCTAAGAAATTCTGCTGAAAGAAACGGATCTACTTCTCCATTGTAATAATAGCAATTTGTACTTGGGATAATAAAATGACCAATTCTGTCACATCAAGATTACCAAAATACTTCTCATGGAAACCCAATCGTAAATGGTACCATTATGGGCCATTTTCCATATCGAACTCTGAATAAATCCAGAGGGTCTATCCCGATACTGTAAATCACCGGTTCTTCCCATCGGGGTTGAAGATCTAAAATCGGGGTACCCCCAAATCATCCAAGTCATGGATGACCATGTTAGTACTGAAACCCATGGTGACTTGCGGATCCCCAATTTTAAGAAACTATATATATATATTGATATACCCAATAGTTTGTTGGGTGATATGAAAAATATTCGGACATTTAGCAAGCCTGCTAATCATTAGTTACTAATCTCACGACTTTCCGAAACCTTCATCAGGACGAAAAAAACCCGAGGCAAACCGTTGAAGGTCTCCATCATCGCTTCGAAGCCGTTGGGACTGGCGACGGTCGCTGCCAATGCAACCTGGGATGGAAGGGACCTTTCTGCAGTGCTCGAACAGGTGGGGATCCGGCGATCTGGAGGATTTTTTTTTTCATGGAAAAATAGAAATCTATTGTTTATAAATGGTTAATAATGGGGGTATAACCAACAATGCATTCCCAATAAGTAGATAGAAAATGATAGAACAATTTTAATGTATAGTTTCTAGATATTTGAGTAGCTATTTGTGGTGGAGCAAATTTGGCCGTAGAAACCAGGCAAGGCAATGACACCACGTTGACTTGGAACATTCAGCAGTGTATTGAGGAGAAAAGAATCAAACTTACAGGCCATCTGTTGAGATGTTGGAGCCTAATTCGGTCCTTTACTACATGTAGAGTTCTTCAATCTGTAAAAAGATGGTTTATTTTCAATCATAGGTTGAAACTATGCCACATGCCGGCCTGATCGACAATTTAATGTTCTTTTTGCACACCTGGGGGTGCCTAACGGGCACTTGTCATGGAAGAGGTGTTTTTGCTGCCAAGTTCATCAGCCTTTTGTTTCGTTCAGAGGCTGGAACCATCGATGTTTGCCATGAGGTGCAATAATAGAGAGTATCTTAATGTTGGTAAAGCAATAGTAAACCATGTTCAAATTCACCATACATGGACGGTATAATCCATCAAAATATGGGTGGTTTATCATTGCTTTACTGGGTTTTCCTAACATTATGAGACTTGTAGGGCAATAAACCCAACAAGAAACTACCTCCCCCCATATTCCCAACATGGGGCTGTTGCAGACGCGAGGCCAAGTGGATGACGACAAGCACATTAGTTGGGAGGAAAGGACGTAGCTTGGTGCCGATGATTGCGGTGATTTCGAGCAAAATTTCGTTGAATGACTCGCGTTTACCATCGCTCAACAAATCACCAGTATGGATTCCCATATATTCCCAGATATTCCCACAATTTACCCACTCTCAACCCATATTAAAACCCACCTCCACATCAGTGACTCCTGAGGTGCGTTCCAGATTCTCGTCTCAGTTCGCCGCAACTGGAAGCCTTGATCACCAAACTCTGTCGAAGTTGGTCCATGGACAAAGAGACTGGTGAGAGGGCTCCTTGGCTACGCAGAGCATGTGTGCGGGAAAGTCATCAAAATCGGGATGATTGGAAAGCCTTATGTTTGATTTGGAAAACCATGATTTCTGAGTCAGATTTGTCCTTCAACCAATCCATTTACAGCAGATGTTTCGGAAAATTTGCTGAAAGTGCCTTGTGCGAAGAAACAGATTTTAGGAGGAACAGATTACGAATGGTTAGTTTTTGTTATCTCTACTGCTCCAGAAGTCTTCAGAGTCGAGTTGGGCGAATCCCAGGTCTCTGAAGCTTGCTCAGAGATTGTACCTTGGCAAAAAAACATGATGTCATCTTGGTTCAGAGACATCTTTCCATCAGAAAAAATATGTTCGCCGCAGTGACCTGGATGAAAAATATAGTTTTGCAAAAAGAAACCATGGTAATCCATGGTAAATTATGGTAAATCATTTATAAGTTGGGTATCTTCCAATAGCTATGTTATACATTGTTGTTATACTACCAGATGGTAACAACTGTTTTTCCCTTGTCGGATCTTCAGCTTTTGACCGAAACCGTGAGGCCTGGACGTCTGAAGGGCGCTTCTCTCAATGTGGTTCCTGGCCAAGGGCCTCCTTGCTGGTAGAGGTGCGGCCACCAGAATGGTGTGTAAATTACAGTGTAAACTATAATAAACTATATATAACTAGCATGATTACACATCGAATTACTCACATATAGAGGTTTCCTAAAATAGGGGTACCCCCAGATCATCCATTTTAGTAGGATTTTCCATAATAAACCATCCATTTTGGGGTACCCCCATTCCAGGAAACCCCCATATATATGGTGTGTTAATTATCATTAAGCTACAATTTTTAGATTCTTTAGATGTGAATAACATGAAACACACAGCGGTGAAGACTGCGATTTTGGGGATCTTCACCAGGGCCCCAAATGGGGCCCCTCCGCAGCCTCTGCGAAGGCTGTGAAGAAAGAAAAAGGCATTTGCTGCACGTTCCATGGCTGCTATGACGCGGTGGCTCACCATGTAGGGAAGCAGGTGAGCACCAGTTCCAAGCAAGGCGTAGGGTCAGGTAATGGTGTATCATACAGTGATACAGTATATCCAAAAGATTGGATGGTACCAATTGGTTTCTCCGACTGTCATGATCTCTAAGACTCGCTTAGAAAAGGATTCATGGTTTGCGATTTACATGGATTTACCCACGAATTCAAGCGGATGAGATTATCGTCATTATAGATTATATCCATCTACTGTACCAACCATTTCCCAACCGTTGAAACATCTTCAAACATTATCCCAGCATCCACGAATCCACCTTGCTCAAACAATTAGGCATCTAGACGAGCAAGGGCGGGAAATGTGCTTCGAAGACGAAGCGCAGCCACTTGGCATCGATATGGACATGGTTTAACCATTCCACTGGGAATATCCACTGGAAGATCATAAACATCAGAGGGCCCATGAGTTGCTTGTGTTACATAGATTGACACCTCCGTAGTGGTACTGATAATCATGATGTTATCATAACAAAAATATACTTAATGGTTCATCCCACTTAGTAAGTAGGTTATACTATAAGTATATTATAAGTTATAAGTGTATTAACATGTCTTAACCATATCTATATATATATAGTATTTATAGTTTTCCAGTGATGTCGCACCCAGTCTGGATCGGTTTGTTCATCGCTGGTCACGGCTGCAGGTTTGACATCCTGTTCGGAGTTGTGACTCGGAAAACGGTTTTAACATTTCGCACCGGCCTGGTGAGTTTCATGAAGTATGCTTCGCTATTATTAACTTACAAAAATACATGTATATATATATACCTAGATAAATATACAGTATATATATATTTATATATATATAGATATAGAGATGGCATGTGTAATTGTATTTGATCTATCTAAGCTAAATCGAATCTAGTCTAATCCAATTCAAATCTAAATGTAACCTTCCTAATCTAATGGGTGGGTGGCTTGAAACTCCAGTAATACATAGTAATACGCGTTGTTTTCGCCTAGACCTTTCAGGATGATCATGGAAATGTCACCAATTGAAAACAAGGGAAACACAGTCGGCCGCCAAGCAACAGCTTGTACCTTTTTTCAGGCCTCAGGTCTTGAGCCAAATGCCCAGTTGCATTCGGCGGGTGCTTGTCGTCCATGTGTGTGTCATCCTTGCTAGCAGGGGCCTCAAGGCATGGAGCTGCCAGCTGGAGACATCTGTACTATCTTTGAAAAAAGGGGTGGTTACGTGCTTAACTGTTTCACAGCTCGCACTCCCCCCACTCCAGTGCCCCAGCGCTGGAGTGCTACAAACTCAAAAATTTCTCAGACCTCCTCTATGACACTCCACTCGCCGCTAGTTTCTTCGGCATTGGCAGGAGGTCGCGGGGTCTGAGAACCAGCCTGTACAACTACTCGGCCCCTCTCAGCAGCGCCTCCTCGGCGGTAGCCCCAGCGCAGAACAGCGCCAGAAGCAGCAGCCGCAGCCGTAGAGCTCGAAGGTTCCACAGCAGCATTCGAGGTAGAGCTCGAAGGTTCCGCCGCAGCATTCGAGGTAGAGCTCGAAGTCGTTGTAGGCCCAAAAGGTTCCTGAGTTGGCACATACGGTAAAGGACCATCTTCCCCCGCATGGTAGCGGGGTACCTGTCCGATACCGTCCTTGTTTCCCTCCAGGTTCTTCAGCTTGAAGAACGTGAAGCCCCTCCAAGACTCCTTGGTGGGAAAGAGATCCCTAGGTCCATCCGACCATCGATCTCGGTGGACAGTTCTTCGACCGTCCTGTCCAAAGGCTACGGTCACCCGCAGCGCTTCCAAGCCGTTGGGGTCGAATGGAACACCACGGTGCAGCGGGTGGAACCTTCGCTCTCGCATGGTTCCATGTTTTCTCACCACCCAGCTCCTTAGCTGTGGCGTCCATCCATCCTTCTTTCCCGAGGGCGGCTGTTGGAACTCAGCACGTTCCCAGGGTTCCTCTTCATCGGCTTGGCCTTCTTCTCCCTGCTGACGTCGACCATGACCTTCGTCGCGGCCAGTGTTGCATGGCATCCTCAGCGCGGCCAACTTCAAGGCAGGTGCAGGAGGATCTGGTGGTGGATCACGCGGTCCCCTTTCGATGACCGGCAACCTCTCGATCTCCTCCTCTTTTTTCTTTTTCCTTTTCTTCTCCTTTTTCTCACGATCCTTGTCGGATCGATCTTCTGATTTTTCCTTCTCCGAAGGAACTTCTGGCGGCACTTCCTCCTCAGGCTCTTCATTGGACCCAGCTGGATCCCCTGTCCACTCTTCATGCTCTTCGGACCGATCAGGTGAAGCTGGCACAATCACCATTGGCTCACCTTCAGGAGTGTAGTACCCCCATTCCACGGTCCTTCTGCCAAAACCTCGCACTGAGTAGGACACCAAATGCCCAGGAAGGTTCATCGAGCTTCTGGAGCTCGAAGGTCCGTCATCTGTTGTCGGCCCAGCGTCCGTAGTCGGTCCAACATCTGTTGTCGGCCCAGCAGCTGTTGCCGTAGAGCTCGCCGTTGAAGAAGTCCTCGGCGGATTCTTTGGTTCCGGGGGCCTGAAGCTACCATGTTCAGCAGCATCAACCAAGGGGTATAGCGGTGGTGTGGTAGGCACCGCTTCTCCCAAGATCACCACTGGCGTTCCTGGAGCAGCTTCCGGAGCTTCAGGCGCTTCAGTTGGCTCTCGGTCCCCTCTATTTCCTCTCCACTTTCCCCAGTCATCTTCGGTGTCTGCTGAAGGTTCGGAACGGGTCTCAGCAGGCACTGCGACGGGGATTGGCTCCTCCTTTTTGGCTCTCTTGAAGGACTCCAACTGATCCTCCGCAGTTTCCCCTTCACCTTCATGTCGGTGCCCTTTGCCCTTCTTCTTCTTCTTTTTTTTCTTCTTCGAAGGCTCCGGCTCATAGTCGCCCTTCACCCAGGACTTGTCTGGCCGATCTTCGTCAGGTTCATCTCCTCCAGCTCCATCACCAGTCGTGCTTGCCATGGCGTCGCGCAAACGCAATGCGCAAGTTCTGAACGACCCGGGGCAGCCCTCAGGGCAGTGGTTAGAACCCGAAACAACGAAAAGAAGGGGTTCAGAACAGAGTTCTGCTGCACCGCCACTCTCAGTACTAGCCACGGGACTCCCAAAAGCGTCAAAACTGGGTTTACTATCCCCCAAACCTTTTTGGATTCCCAAACCAAAACTCTTAGGGGTTTCCCTTCCCAAAACCTTGGTTCCTTCGGGGTTTTCGGGGGTCAGCCCTTGTGTTGAACCGGGTTCATTTTCCCTCGGAACAACTTCTACCTTCCTTAGGGTCGGTTCATTTTCCCGGACCTCTTGAAAATCTTGTCGGCCAATGGCTCTTGCTTGTTTTTCCTGGTTGATCATCTCATCCAAGGTACCTAGAGCTTCCAAGATTGAAGAAAGGTCGTCTAAAGACTGTTGATTTAACCCTGGCCAGTCCGGATTCTCCAATCTCTTCAGCCGTACAACCAATGACATCACCACCAAAGTGAAAACCACAGCTACAAAAGCCTTGACCTTTTCGGTCACCTCACCTACGATGGGCACATTGACCCATTTTTTCAAGGAAGAAACTACCGTAGCGGCCTTCACCTTGAGCTCGTCAGCGGTCTCCGTCTCGCGCCATTCCAACTCGGCACCAGCGACCACATCAGGCAAGAAGTCTTGGTTCTCAGGCTCTCGGTCACCGACCTCAGTGTTCCTTAGTGGTTCATCCTCAGTCACCAGGTCACATCGGGATTTGTGGGTACCCAAAAATTTCCAAAACCTCTCCCAAGCCCCTTTAGCTACTATAGGTTTGGTTAAGTAGTCCGCTATGAGTTCCGTCCCCTTGAGGTGTCGGATCTTCCAGTCTCCTTTTTCGGAGCGGAGTTTTTCCTTGAGACAGTTGGACCGAAGTCTCAAATGTCTGGTTCTCCAGGGCCCGTCGGGCTGCTGTAGTATTGATATGGCAGACGTGTTGTCACCATATAATACTTTTTCAAACTGCTGTGAACCATATATCACTTGCAGCAAAGCCTCTACCGACTGAACCATCACCATAGCTTCCACGTACCCGACCAGCTCACTCTCAGCTGTGGACAACGTGGCAAAAGCTTGTCTCGTTGCTTCCCACAAGAGCGGTGCCCCTCCCACACAGGTGAGAATCCCCTGCAGACTCCTTTCTCCTTGTGGTGCAAAACTGATGTCACTGAAGGATTCTATCAGTTTTTCGTGCCTAGGGATCGGCAAGTTGCCTTCCGGCCCCCTGTCGCCCTGCCTTCCTTCGTACATCAATCCCAAGTCAGGAGTTCCAGCCAAGTACTCTAAGATTCCTTGACCCACCTGAACCGCCCACCGCGGTCGCTTGGATACCTGACGTCCCATCTGCGCCACGGCAAAGCTTAGATCTGGTCGGCTCCGTGTAGCAAGCCAGAGTAGTTCCCCTGTCAGTGCCTGAGCAGCCTTGATTTCCTCCGCAGTCACGGTTTCCTCCAAGGCCTCTGGCACCTCTATTTTGGACATTGGCACGGCCTTTTTGTTTTTCACCCCATGTCTCTGCAGGAGATCTCTGGTGTAAGAAGGCTGTGCTACCTGGAGGCGATTTTCATCCGCCCACTTCAGCTCGAAACCGCAAAACCGGACCCATTTCTGGTCATCCACATGTTCCGGAGCAGAAATTTTCCACTCCTGCTCGACCCTGTTCAGGAAACCAAGTCGCACTGACCGTTCAGCCCACACCATTAGATCGTCCACATAGACAATGATGTGTCCCACGCATTCCGGCTCAGTTGCCTCTTCACGGCCTTCTTCCGCGGCCTTAACCTTCCAAATCTTCCAGAGATTTGCTTCCTCCGTCGGGCGAAGGTAAAACATCCATTCACCTTCCAGCCATTGAAAGGTTTTCATCGTTCGATCTCTGTGCGCTGACCAATGCGCCGGGCTCGAAGTGAATCCGTAAAGCGCTTTATGCACTCTCCACCTTTCGGTTGCCGGGATTACTCCCGCTTGTATCATCACCTTTGGCGGTACGACTATGACCTCTCGTCCACCTTCAGGCTTCGGACGCGGCGCGAGCAGAAATGCTGTGCGTATATCTGTGACAGATGCCCCCCAGTTTCGTTGGACTCCATGGTTGATCACAGCTCGGATCATTGTTCCATCAGCCCCTGAAGCGTAGGCTCCACTGGGCGCTGGATCCCAGGCACTGTCCAGCAGGTTTCCACAGATCACTGCTCTGCACTTTTTCCGTCCACCATTTTTCCCCGCCTTGCGTACGCACACCAGTTTTCCTGGGACGTACTCCACCTGCTCATCGTCCAGGTCGCAAACCGACACCGGCTCGATGGCTTGAGTCTCCTTCACAAGGCTATTGTATTCCCCCTGCATTGCAGGAGTCCAAGCGGCCAAATCCCTTCTGACTTCTTCCAGTGCCACTGTGGTGGACTGAAGAACTTCTTCCTGATCCCCTTCACCATTCTTCGGGATCCCCTCGGTTCTCAGTCCGCACAGTCGAATCATGTCCGCCTTTTGCAGTTTTGACAACACTTGGAGCATTTCTTCCAGCTCCAGGCGATCTTGAAGCATGTAACGGAGCTGTTTTCCGTATTCCAGTCCCTCCTGTTCACTCGTTGGGACCCGTCTCAATGCTTCACTCAAACCCATCAGAAGCCGATTGTGGCTTCCCAACAGAACCCCTTCCGCTTGTTCCTTGCGGATTTTTC